GCTGTTTTGATGTTATTTTGAATCGGGACAAAAAAAAAATCTCTTCTTTCATGTTCTGGCTTCTCCAGCACAAGCACAACACAGAAAAAGCAGTGGAATCTTCTCCTTAAAAATATGTGGCTCAGTTAAAATAGCTCTTAATCACTCATCTCCAGAGATACACATCCAAGAGCACAGGGAAGTGGTATCTTTTAACTAAGGAAAACAAGTTTCAATGTTTTTTTCCACATCTTTTTTTTTTCCCCCAAGCATTTCCATAATACCTCAAGTACTAGCTATTCTTATACCTTTCCCAGACCGCAGGAGGAAAAAAAAAAAAAAAGGCAAAATAAAAGCCAAACAAAATACAAGAGGAATTGCCAGGAATGAGGAGTGCAGTTTTATTTCCATGTCTCTCTAATAGATTAGTAATTTGTTGGCAGTGGCTTTGACAGAAAACAGATGGATGCAGCACTAAACACAATGAATGCAGCAGATGCTAGGCCAGCCCACATCAGCTGGACGTGTCAGGCAGCCAAGTCCAAGAGCCCACACTTTTCAAGTGGGTACAAGCCTGGCAACAGCGGCTGTACAACACTGCTGAACAACTCCTCCCCGCCATATCCGAGGGATTTTTGATTCCAACTCCCCCTCGGCAGCGTAGAATTGTACCCAGAGAGACGACATCTCAAATGCATGAGAAAATCTAAAGCAGTAAGTGGAATTGGGAAGAAAAAAAAATAGTGTAATAAAGATAAAATATAAAAAAGCCTACTAACAACCTGCCAGTGACAGATGTTCACACCCACTGCTGAAACTCTGGTCCACTTTGTCCAGGTTTGCTGAACAAAGTGCTCTGATACCTTGCCATTTCTAGGCAAGCTGAAAAGAGGGAAATCTGAGAAGTACCTGATAGTTTTGCCCTTTGCTTTAGAAACATAGGTCAGAGCCACAGTATTAAAAAGAGCATCTTAAAATCATTTTAGAATTGTTTACATGTGCACTTAACCATCTCGTTTTTCTCGTACAGACAATTTAAATGCATTGTTCCGAATTCCTCTGAAACTGTTTTACCTAGGGGACTTCAGTAGGTAACAGTTGATATTTAAGTCTTAACTCCACAGGCTGTTGCATATGTGTGTCTGGGTTCTGAGGTCCAGACTCTTGAGATACTTAGGGCATCTCATCCTTAACATGCTACCGCTTTAATTAAAATCTAGGATTAAAATCAGTGGGAGCTAGATGGCAAAGTGTTTTTGTGAAATGAGTCCAGCATTAAAGGTTACAAAGCAGAAATACTCAATTCATATTACTTTACCATGAACAAAAGAGGATTTAACTTACTATGAACTTTTTGGGTTGTGGTTCAAACATACTCACTAGTGGTTTATCTCTTTGCTACATCCAAACAGAATCAATTACTGCCAAATTGAGCAGGAAAAGTTAGGGAGATGAGATGCATTTCTGACACGTTTTACTGATCCACAGCAAGTTTTTCTCTGCCCCAGTCTTAAAAGCCCCACCTCATTACAGCATCTGACTGCTCTCCAGAGTGCATTTAAGGGACATTTTGCTGTGGCAGCAGGTTGATGCTCGGGTCATAGACCAGAGCTTCATTAGCCCCCGAGCTAGATTTTGTCCAAATACAAACCAAAAAGACTGCTTCTTTCAGTAACAGCTTCCATTCTTTGTCTGCTTTTCTTTATCCTTGGGACAGGAAAATGCTGGGATTTAATGCAAAATGAAAACAAACGTTCTGTACGGCATGCTCCTGTGCTGTAGCACAGACACACAGAAGTGTGGAGCCAAAGCCATGTTTTATTTTTGTAGGAAATGGTTTCATAGGCTTGGACAAGGTCCCCGGTACAGACCTGCTTCCTGGGAAAACATATCCTACTCTTACTATAGATCTAAGTGTCATGTAAACACATGAAAACCAAATAAATCAACCATATCGTGAAACGGATCATTCTGCTCTCATGAACTGGGGCCTAATTTCTCCAACTCAACCTTAATGGTGTAGTCTTTACTATGGTGAGCAATTCCACTGCAGAGAAAGGACACTAGCCTTGAGCAACGGTCTTCAGGACAGCACACAGTGAAATCTAGCATTCAGACTAAAAGCTTAATGGCACAGAATGGTTTGACACATATATAAAAATATAAGTAGCCCTGTCAAAAAGTCAGCCTATGTTTAGCAGTATCCTGGAGAAAGGCCTGTGTGAACAAAACACAGAAAGCAAATAAAAACCTTGCAAATTATTTTAGTTTAATAATTCAAGAACTCAGTTGCAACCCATGTAATTTTTAATATATTTGTTATTTTGGCAATAAAAGACAAATGGGGTGACGTTGTTATATATTCATCATTGCTGACATATAATTGTGCTTTGCAAGAGTGTATGTTAAGAGATGCAACTACAGATTGCTTTCACTAGAAATGAAAAATGCTACAAAAAATTAAATCCAGGTAAATACATGATTTTGAAATATCACCATCTTCATCCCTGGATTTTATTAATGGTCACATTAGCCTGGCAAAAACATAGTATTCTTCTGCTCTATTTGTTACCTGTAGAGCTGAAAGTCTGCAGGGCCCTAATTTTATGATGACCAGTGCACAGGATCACCGGTACTCTCCATGAGCTGGCAGAAGAACACGCTTTTCATCCATCACACTATTCACCAGACCCTTCTGAAATGGCCTGTTAATGACAATGATGCTCATTTTCTTCCTGCCCCTCAAGTTCACTTTTTAATAGCCGTTTCTTCCTGACCACGACCCATAAAATCATTACATAGGCACTTTCATCTACAGAGGGAGGAAAAGAACTGCTGAACTCAAGCAAAAAAGAAAGTAGTATTCGGCGTGTTACTTAAATGCATTGATTTAGTACAAAACCCTTTCCATTCAATCAGTGTGGATGGCTAATGTTTTACTGCACTTGACACCCACTATTCCCATGGTTCGGAATCTCAGCAGCAGCAGTACAGCTGGAAGTCAGGATAGCACATCATAAATCCACTGGATTTTTACCAGTTAAGCTAGTTGCTCACTGTGCAGATAAAAATAAGCACTTGGACAGCATTTTATGGCCACAGAATGCTTTCCAAATAAAAGGAAAGCACCAGTCAACGGGAGCTAGGTAATTAATCTTCACACATGGCTATAAGGCATTACTAGCCCTATTTTACAGTTAAGGAAAGCGAAGCAGAGAAATCTACTTGCCTAAGTCGAAAGATGGTGTAAGAGGCAGAGCCAAAATTAGAAACTGGGAAATCTTGGCTTGTAGCCCTGTGCTGAGAACAATACAACAAACGCGACCCAGAGATGAAACAGACAAGAACACTGCACAGAGCAGCAAGGCTCCCTGCAAACAAACATCAGAACTAGTTCTCAGAAACTCCCGAGACCAAAATAACCATCCTCGCTAGCTCGGGCAAGTCACTGAGCCCTTACAGAATTTCCCATCGCTGGCTCCAGCTCTTTTTGAGGATTTTAAGTAAGAAAGTCAATAGTAGGAACTGCTGAAACAGAAAAGCTTCTTTATGTATCTCTAAAGAAAATACCGCCCCTTATATATTCTGTGCCTTGACCTCAAGTTCATTAAACCCCTAACCAGATGCATACCATATAAAGGTTACCCATTAAAGGCAAAAAAAATAGACAAGTTCAAGGTTGTATGCACTGAATGTCCAGGGGCAGAAACTGTGTATTTTAGTTTTGTTACAGTCCTCCACCAATTCTGTCAAACAAGCAAAATGAAAGGAACTGTCTCTCTCAGTCTGAAGGGTTAGTTAACATTCACAAACCGTATGCATTAGAGCTCAATATTATATTCCCACAGTAGCCACTGTATTATTATGCTCATTAGAAGACTTTAACCCTCGCAGTCACCATGCAATTTCAGATTGGCCTTGGGATTCCATCTAAGAAAAGAAGTCCTATTTTGGGATCAGTGTTGTGACCCTTATTCCATGCGTGGTCAAATGTGGCCCCGTCGCAGAGATGACATGCTTGGGCTCCTAAACAATTACCCTGGCAATGCAACAGATTCATCATTTTCTTGCCCAATTTAAGGTCACTATTTTTATATAGAGAAAGGTTCCTAGTAACACAAGCAGCTTCTTCCACAAAGTGCAATTCCACCTTTGAATGACCGTTTAGGTTTGTTTAGGTTTTTCTGGGGAGGGTGCTGTGTGTGAGGAGTTGGTGTTTCTTTTTTTTTTTAAGAAATCACACCTACCTACATACATGAGATGTATACATATACGCACTACAAATACACATACATAAAAATATCATATGTATTACCAGAAATCATTTTACCTTGTGGTCCATACTGGCTCATCTGAGGCCCATAAGTACCACTTGAATTACTCTGCTGAAAGCTACTGATTCCAGGATGCACCTGGCCTCCAGGTGAGGGGTGTGGTGACATGGAAGGTCCAGTTTGCTGAGGTCCATACTGTGACATTTGGGGGTTCCTCTGTATGCCTGTCATAAAACCTAAAGGGGGAAAAGCGCCAAAGAGAAAATTAATATTCAAGTACGTGTTCTTCATTTAAGAAATCTTTGATATTAAAAAAAAAAAAAAACCAAACCAAAACAAAACAAACTAACCTTCTTTATTTTTCAGACTAAAGATACCCAGAACTTGCTATTGTTCATACAAAGAGATACAGAGGCATCTCCAAGTCAGCCAAGCTGTCTCATACAAGGCTCAAAAACTTCTGCTTGTAAACAAAAGACAGGGCCTTCCTGCTCATTTACAAATGGCTGCTGGTTTTAAAATGAAAACAATCCTTAGGAAAAAAAAATAAAGGCAATTATCTGTATTACCTAGTAAGCAGTAGGGAATTTGCCTGATGACTTACAGTGGAAGTGTCATAACTTCCAAAATTATACGTATGTTGCTACCAAAATGCAGAACTTCAGCATAAAGAAATCCACTGTGAACACTCCTATTACCCACACACTCTCAGGATCTAAAAATTTCCCTTTATGTGAAGGCTAGTCATATCAGCCAGAAAAAAACCACAGTCGTTTTGGTGTGCATTTGTGCCCTAGGTTCTTCCTCTGGCCTGTCCTCAGCACACCTGTATTGCATTATCCCCTTTTTCCCTTTCTGAAATGTATTAATGAATCCCAATTTAATTTAAGGTTCAAAAGCTGCAGCAAGAGACCTAGTGAAATGCTATAAAATCTAGAAGCTTTGTATAAAGGAACAGAACTAAGCATATTAAATGGGAGAAGAAAAGGGTTTTGTGGCAGGGTTTTTTAGGCTTTCATGAACTGGGAAAAATCCTGCAGTTCTGCCCATGAATTGCCTGCGCAGGGATGCTGGTTTTCTCACATTTTACCCCAAAAGGTTTTAGTGCTGCATTCAGTGTCTAAGAGGATGTGCTGAGGAGCCAGCCAGGTCCAATTTCTGAAGGAAGCTCGCTCTTTTTTCTCTTCTGCTTGCATAGTAGATTTTGTCTTCCCGTTTCTCTGAGGCAAAGCACGAGCGCAGTGAAGGACAGCGCTTGTTCTGCTGTCACCAGCGGCCCAGGAGGCTGCTGGCAGCTCCCCCGCGCCCCATGCAGCTGGAGACACGGCACACTGCTGCCCGCGGGGCCCACGTCCACCAGCAGGTCTGCATTTCCGCCCATCCCGCAACTAGTTCAGGCACCCACGCTTTGAGGCCACCGAGAGCTGAAGCACTGTTTAAGAAAGATGCCCGTTCTCCTCTCCCCTCCGTTAGTTTCAGTGGCCGGCGTGTGGGGAGGCGCGAAGTCGGAAGCCAAGAGACACCCTGCCCGGCAGCTTTAATTATGCCTTTCCCTCCTTGAGGGAGGGAATAGCAGAAAGGTGAGAGTGAAACCCCCAGAGAGTAAGTGGACAACTGTAAGCTGCTGAAAGGAGGATCAGAAAAAAGAAAAAAAAATGAGAAAAGGAAAGAGAGAGGCAAAACCAAGTTGTGAAGTTGGACAGAAGTGGGTGACAGGAGGAGAGAGAAGTGGCAGAAGGATGACCCTCCCAAAGGGCTGGGGTTTCCTGACGCTGTTAGCATCAAATGACACAGACCGAACACTCAGTACCTGATGAACGAAGAGAGGTGAATTTTTTCTGAGCCACATAAAGATCTGTTATCTGTCTCGTAACCACAAACACTGAGGTGCTACAGCTGCCACGATGGGGCGGCCCAGGGGTCTCTCTCTCCTCAGGGACCGCAGTCCCAACAAGCACGTCCTGAACTCAAGAATAAGTTTCTCATCCTCGTGCTGCTGTTGCTGACATGGTAGGTGACACTGCATGAACAACCTTCCAGCAGGTCAGCCTCCCTGCTTGTACACGGGTGACAAAACGAGGAGCTGAGACGATCTTGCACCCCCTTGTGCCCAGTTCTCCCGTACTACGAACAGCTCAACCCGTAACGTGCTAGAACTCTAACAACTACAAGGTTTGGCAGAACACACAGAGTTTTCCTGATCCTTGTGCAAGCCCCAAGACAAAGGGTTTGATCACTTCTGAACTGGAGGCACCTGCGCTGGAGGAAGCCGGACGACACGCACTGGTGTGGGACACGGCAAATAACCGAGGGCTAAACGGCGGTTTGGAAGCTGGTCTGTGCCTCATTGGAAAACGCCACACTTGTGCAAAGGAAAGATCGTATGGCCTTCTCCACTTAGCTTTATTTTAAAACAGACCCCTCGATTTTTAAAACAGTTCCACTCTGCGCACAAATCTTATTACGAAGCCTATGCCTTCTGCCGGCGGTGCTGTAACTAATTTAGAAACCTAATACAATCGGACGTCTGTATGAAATAAATTCTTGACACACATACACCACATATATCACACTCATGGGATCCATTTAAATGAAAAATTTTGTACTGGCCACACTAAGTTTTTTTTATTATAAAGATAGTAAAGTTACTCCTGTATCTCGTACAGAAGTGAGCTGTATCTAGTACAGAAGTGAGGGTTTTCTGTTCACCCTGGGCCTTTTAATCTATATGAGATAACTTTCCAAACATTGTGCTAGCGATAAAGGTTTTTCAGCCCAGTTATTATTGCAGGCAGTACTTTCCTTAAGACTGCGAGGAGGGATGACACATTAAAAAGCTATCACTTGTACGGGTTGTAGTGATTTCCAGTAGCGATGCAGAGGGACTGCTGGCTGTTGAATCTAACGGCGAACATGGACGAATGTCTAATGGAGAACATGGAGAACATTAGTTTTAGTCAGCTCTGCAGTTGTCAGAAGGGGTCCTGAAGGGACTAGAGCAGTAAGTGAAATAAATGTTTCTACTCAAATGACCTTGAGGAAACTTCTCCTGATCCGTTTGTGATGGTGTGGAGTGGACTGCATGGCTGTGTGTACAGTCATAAATAAAACACACTAGGACCATTCCCTGGCCTGGAGAATGGTGTGCTGTGCTCACATCCATCCAGCAAAACCTTGCCACTCAGGCCTGAAAGTCTTATCTGTATGACTTCTCCATGACTCATCTATGCCCTGGACTGTATTCTCAGGGAGTGCCCACAAGCATCAGCCAAAACCATGCCGTGGGGCACACCAATAATTCAACAGCATCAAGAACTGTGCGATACCACTCAAACTCATGCTCTGGCCTTAATTTACAGAGACGTCGATTAACGCAACAAGAATGGAACAAACCCCTTAACAGCTTTTGAACTGAGGCATGATTTTCACCATCCCAGAGGGTGTGAGATCCCTCCCAAATGAGGTTGGCTTTGCTGTCTTCTCTTGAACATGGACAGGTAAAGGATTAAGGAAAAAGGAAGCTTTAAAACAGGACATGCTCCAACTTCCTTCCAGAGAGCACAGGAGTCTTTTCAGCTGCAGATGCGATGTGGAGAAGGTGGTATGATTAGGTCCTTACCACGATCCGGATTCCATTACAACAAACATGACTCTCTCCTCATCTACCTCCGTGAAGAGCCCAGCGAACATTCAGAGATCAGCGCATGAGTTTGAAGTATCAATATTTGCACAAAGCTCAGATGTCTTAGAGATAAAAGGGGTTTCTGGTCAAGATGTTAACATTCTTGCATCATAAAGAGAAAACAACATCAATTCTAGAAATCCTATAAGAGATGAAAGGGAACAGCTGGCATACACTCACTTTTCCTTATTTACAAACATTTTCCCTAGTGTTCATTTTATAACCAATACAAAAAGAAATGTATTTTCTTTCCAGAAAATTAGATCTAAGGTAAAGTTTGCTTTTGTAAAGAAGGGAAGTAGGATTACATTAGAGCTGCACTGGAGTAAGGGCGGCCGAGTGATTAAACAGCCAGACTGCATCTGGCATGTCAACCTCTGTGACAGCAAGGTGGGGTTTTTTGTCTTTTAAATAAACTGCTAGGAAACAGCTATGAGTTAAGACTCTAAAAATTGCAATGGCAACATGCTCATCGGTGGACAAATCTACTCCCTTCCCTTAATATCAGAGATAAAAGAGGTACAAATAATGCTTTACTTGCCATCACAACAAGAGATTACTTACTGAAAAAAATACTGGAGTGGATTTTGGCAAACTAAGCCATTTCAGGAGCAGCTGAATAAAGTGAGCCTGCCAGAACTCTTCCTTTTTAGTTGTTTTTTATAGTACATTTACGTACCTAAAGAATGGTTGTCTTTATCAAAACCCAATTTAAGGTTGTAGTGTGATCTTTGCCTTTTTTTTTTTAGCTCTAAATGAAACAGTAGTATATTATTAACAGTCAGCACACCATAACTATAATAAAATACGTTTGCATGTTCAAATAGAACATACATAAAAGGTTAAAAAAGGGTCAGGTAGCAGTGTAATTGTCTTCTTTTAAGCAAAATATAGGGAAACAATATAAAACGGGTAAGGCTTATGATAGTAGTGTTTCTGCTCCTTTGGTACAAGAAAAGACAAAAATGAAGCTTCTGTTGTCCTATCAGTACTAGCATATGGTATATACATCATACAGCTAATACCATTTATGATGCCTCTGTAAAAACATTTAAAATCTTGGTTTTCCCTTGTGCATATGCATACACAAAATAGATAAACCACAGTAATTTACTAAAGCTTCATGAAATTATGCACCAAGGTTGTCTTAATTACATTTGTACACTGACCAATACAAAAATCATGTTTGCTGAATACTATCTCCTTAACACTAACCATGAAAAACACCCACCAAATATGCTAGGTGTTGCCATAAAATCTGAAATGGATTCTTTTAATATTTTGAAGTCTTGGCTTGAATATGAAAAAAAAATCTTTCCAGGAAAGCAGGAGCTCAAACACAAAGGAAGCTGTTGCATGTCTGCTGATGGACAGCAAGTGTCTACTGGCACACACTTAACCCGCAGTCAATAAGAGGTCTTTTGATTTAGCCAGGAGTAGTGCATCGATTTTCATGAATGAATTAAACTGAAAACACATAGAACACTTACTCATTTGAAGCTCAGGAAAACTTGGAGTTTACAGCAATAGCAGAGCATCATTAAGTATCACACT